AAATTTCTCATATAAAATTAATAATTACCATTAAATCCCAAGTATCAGCTTTAGTATCATATAATGTAAGCTTTTTTCAAATAAATAATAAATAAATAATAAATTAATATTAAATTAATAACTGCACATTTTTTATTAATTATTATAGTTATTATTTATTACCTTATTCATGGAAACTGCAGTTGTATACTTAGTAGTAATAGAGTAATCAAATCCACCAATAAAAACAATTACTCCATTAGCAATCAATACAGCAACATGGTCAACCCTAGGAGGTGGAATATTTGGACCAGTTTTTCCAATTTGACTCCAGGATAAATTATTTCCATCCAGAATAAAAAAGTTGTCAAAATAAATGCTAGTAGGAATACTCAGATCATGTACTCCACCATGAATATATAATTTTCCAGTCAATGGATCACTAACACTTGCAAATTCTCTACGTGCTTCAGGTGCCATTCCTTGAAAAGCAGGTGGGTTTACTAACCATTGGTTGCTTTTAAAATCATGGGTGTAAACCACACTTTTCAAATTAAAATCAGCAGTTACAGGATCAAGCATAAAACCACCAAACAAAAATATTGTATCATTATTAGTGTTGGAACTAGCTTTAGCCCATGCTGATAATCCTGGCAATGGTGAAGTTTCAGTTAAATCCTTCCATGGTGGAGTTGTTGTATCAAATGGTTGTAACAAATCAAGAGAAAAAAATTCTTTTAATGGTAGACTATCAAAGACACCACCCATTACATATAATTTGTTGTTAACCACAACAGTGGCATGTACTAATCTTGGGTCAGTTGGTGCTGAATTTACCACTAAAAATAAGCATTTGAGCAATATTAAAAATATTAAAAAGATGTTCATTATGTTTAAATAGATTGATTCAACTATAAAAAGTTAGAAAAAAAGAAGTCCACATTTTTTATTGACTGTTATATATATTCAAAATAAAATTTTTAATTTGTAACAAACGAATTTGTTAATTTGACACAAAAAAAAAAAAAAAAACAATTAGAATAAACTTAAACAAATTATAGGACTGCATATTTATGATGAAAATCCAACAAATTCAGTCACCAAAATAAATTGAATTAAAAAAACATCAAATCATATTTAGAAAATTTTAAGTTTGTAGTAGGAAAACATAACATTATTCAAATGTAGCTGAGGAAAAAGGTCAGTTCCGGTTCTACATTCTCAAAAAAGTATTATTATAATGAATTTATTTATTTGGTAATTCAACCTAAAACATTATATATTTTTTTAATTATTAATAATTTTTTACCGTAGTAAATTATAAAAGGATGTTGGACATCTTAATATTGGACAGATGCTATTGGAATTCCATTGAAAATTTTAACAGACAGCAATTATAATGAATATTCAATATCAGTTCAGTAATGACGACGAAGGGGATTTTATTATACCGAATTCTAACTAACATGCCATATGTTATGATTGACAGTTCAATAGGAAAGATTCCTCAATGCCTTTCGACACAAAACTTGATACAGCTCTTGGAACATTGGAAATATATTTATTTGTTGGAGACAAAATTATATGAATATGACATTTGTATCTGTAATAAAAATTGATTTTCATAATAAAATAGAAGGCGCTCAAAATAAATAAATATATCTAATATAATAATAAAATGACCTTTTTCAGTTTCACATATGACTTTTGAAAAAATCTTTTCATGAATAATAGAAAAGGACAGTGAACGGATTTCTACGCCTTTACCACGCCACACCTGTTCCATGTCCTTTTTTACATTATTTTGCAGAATACCTGTACCATCACCCGTCCTTTTCTAATATTAATGAGCCAAGCTTGAAAAGGACGGGGGACGGGCAGGCGTGGCTTGAACTCTTTTCCAGCATCCCATTTAAGGATTACGAACGTTGCACGAAAAGAAAATCAAAAACGGAAATACATTTCAAGGATTTCAAATTAGTCCAATTTGATAAAGTGCAATAAACCAATAAAACAATTAACTCGCGGGAATTATCAAGAAAGTAACGTTTCTTTAATTATTCCCAAAAGAAAGGTCTGTTTATTTTTAAGGAACACTTTAAATTAATAGTTTTAGAAATTGGGGAACTAAATGATTGAACCTTTAATATGTATAAATAACATTGTAATTTTCTTAGCTAAAAAATAGAAAATCAATAGTTTATGAATGGTTAACTCATAATAAATAACCAACTGTCCTTAAGCTTAATCTTGTCCTGTTCTTGTCCTGGTCTTCGTTTTATATTTTCGTACTAACTCCCGTGCATAATTAATTTTCTCTTATTTTATAATTGTCTCTATTTTTATTATTATTTTTTATTTCTTTCCTTTTCTTTAGTAGGTAAATTTTGTTTAGTGAAGTTTGGAAATGTATCTGTCTTGGGTAGGAAGTAACAATGTGAGAGGGCATCCACCAAGAAACGTGATCAGGGCATAATGTGGTATTGTCCAGTATTGCTTAACAAGGAATCGTTTAATGATGGTAAAAGATAGTTTGAGGGTAAAGCATAAATATATATTCGCGGAAATTGTTGTTACAATTTAGTATAAATTGGAAGAAATTGTATTATTGTATTAGCATAAAACATTAAATAAATAAATAATCATCATTGAAGCTTGGACATGTTCTCACAATAAGAGTTTAATTTTATATACAGTGAACCCTCCCTAAGTGCACCCTCCCTAAATGCACGCACTATGTATACCCTCCATAAATGCACGCTCACAAGAAATAGCACTATGTTCCCGATGGGGGTGCACTTATAGAGGGTTCACTGTATGAGTTGAAAAAAAATAAAACGTCCTTAGGGCTTCTATTCGAATTATTTTGTTTCATTCATTTTGAATTTGAGTCTTCGAATTACATCGAAAGTTTAGTCAAATAAAACAAGTAACTCGAATGGAACGAATAAAAGAATAATTCAAACAAAACGAACAAAACGAATAATTTGAATAATTCGAATAAGAATTTGTATTACTATTACGAATATATAACGATCAGACCTATAACTGACCAGCTGTATCTAAACATGGCATTATTATTACGTATGAAATGGATAAAATTCCCCATTCTAATTTTGGACCATCGATACCATGATATAAAAATTATAGACTACGTATGTATTTATAAACAGGATCCTTCCAGCGCAACAAGTTATTATAATTTTTTTGCGAAGTTTAGTGTAAACCGAACTGTTCGGAGCTTTAATCATGATACATACAATCTAACTTAAAGTTTTTATTTTATAATGAATTAATAAAATAAAATTCGAGATATTTTGTTTTTCTCTATATCTCCTCTTCATCAGCAAATCAACCTTTATGTTTATATATTTCATCTATATAATTCAATTAATTGATAATTAAAAAGAATTTAACTAAAATTATTATTGTTATTATTAATTAAATAAAAAATACAATTTTGTTAATAATTCTGAGGAGATAGTTGTGGATCATCATATTGCATGGATTGTTGTATGGATAAATTTGTTACTAATGGGTATTTTATTACTGAGCCTCGTGGTTTTGTATTATTACCATCATCATCATTACCATCATTACCATCATTACCATCATTACCATCATTACCATCATTACCATCATTACCATCATTACCATCATTATCATCATTATCATCATCATCATCATTACCATCACCATTGTCATTATCATCATTATCACTATTATCATCATCATCGTCATCATTACCATCATCATTGTCATTATTATCATTACCATCATTACCATCATCATCATCATAAATTACTTGATTTGTTGTGGACATATTGGTATGTGTTTGATCTATTGCAATATTATTTAAACCTGGAGTACTTCTTTCTAATCCTGATTGTAAATTTGGATCCATAGTATTAGAAACTTGCTGTAAATTTGAGGTTGGAGGAAGTGATTGATTAGCCAACATTAATTGTTTTAATAATTGTTGCTGTAGTAATTGTTGTTGTAATGTTTGAAATTGTTGTGGCTGTTGTTGTTGTTGCAATAATTGTAATTGTAGTAATTGTAATTGCTGTTGTTGAACCAAATTAGGTGGACTATGTATTTGTGGAGTGACACCAAAACTACCAAAATTATTATTGTTGTTGATATCACTACCATACATTGAATTTGTAGCTGTTGTTGGAGTTGTTGAAGGTGGTGTAGTAATCATTTGTAAAGTTGGTGATGCAGGGTTTGTAAGATCATTATATAGCATTGAAAGTGGACTAATATTGTTTCTGTTGTTGAGGTTGTCATTGCTATTAAGCAAACTATAAACAGAATTATGATTTGAGGGACTTTGACTATTAGATGGTGATATTAATGATGGTGTTGTCGTGGAAATACTTCTCATAAAATTATCACTGTTATTAATTTGACCTTGAGAAAAAGAGGGGGGAGGGGGGGAAGAAGGAGGAGGAGAAGGAGGAGAAGACATCATTTGTGTGCTACGAGCTGATGATGAAGCATCATTAAAAGATGATAATTCTTGTGCATTCT